GCGAATACTCGACTCACTCGCACGTCAGCGGTTCTCTGCGCGACGACACGGGATCGTGCACGAACATCCGCGCCCTAGTGATCACAGACTTATACTTATGGCGCGCGATTTATTTTGTTGTCGATGGAAACTGTTGATAAAATTTCTAATAAGAATAAACATGATAAAATCGAGATTGAAAATTAAAATGTGAAGATGTTAATTATGCAAAATTTCGATGACAAAAGTCGACGACGCGTCGACGACGTGAACTTTAGCGCAAAAAGTAGCAGATTCCTGTTTTAACTTTACTTTTAATTAATTCTCAAAAATTCTATTTCAGAAAGGAAAAATATTTCTATTAAAAATTCTGCTGTATATTATAAATCGAGTGAGCTTCAGCGACAGAATAAAACCTGTATTCAAATGTTTCCGAGAAGAGGCGCACAAACGCGATTTATAGCCTCGCACGCGGTAGTTAAAGAGCGTAACATCTGATCGAATATTTCCGATCTGATTTCCCTCGAGTCGTCGAACGTAAAAGATGACGCAAGCGGCACGTAAGAAGCGAATGAAAACGAGCGGCACGATTCGCACGACATTTGCTCCGAGCTTATGCTTATGGTCGGCCGGGTCGGCCAGGAAGAGAAGACGCTACGCTGGCACGGAGCTAGCTCGAGGAGGATGGTAACGACCGTCGTCGATTGCGTAATGGTGAAAACGGAGGACTCCTCGCGTGTCACGGCGCAGCATCAGCGAGAAGAATCCTTGTTACAGGTGCTTTCGTCGGATCTGATGAATCGTTCGCGGATGACGTCGAGGTGATTCGTGACGCGCGCGAAAGCACACCGACCGATTGTTAATTAGCACTTTCGCCACGGTTATATATTCGACTCTGCTCAACGCCGCTCTATTATATTGAACTGATGTAAAATCCGACATTTCATATTACACGACCTGATACAACGATGCAAAAAACAGTAAAATTACATGACCGGCTCCTGACTTATACTTAACGTAAAAATACGTGAGCGGCCGCGAAAGTATTAAGAATCCGCGTTATTTCGAATTCACCGATAAAAAGCTGCCGGACATATCATTCTCGATGTATGATCGGCCATCGAAAGCCACCTATTTGGTATTTGACGTATAATATGTGTCAATACACGTATACATAGATATTCGTGTATTATCGTGACCGGCTGGATTGTAAAAAATGATCAATTGGAATTGCAGCCTTTCCTTCTATTTTAATTACGCTATTATTAAAAAATCTAAAATTATTAAAGTTTTTCTCTTATATAATTGTCGATTTCGAAATACTTTTATGCTTGCTTATTAGCTGCCATAAGTAAACATCTTATACATGATCAGACAATTTACGACTCAACCCAAGCAAGTCGGCAGTTTATTCACTTGAAATTAATGTCATGTAGCGTGACATGCAATGCTAAACTTATCAACTCATATCTTTATCTATAATTATTTCTCTTAGTTATAAGCTTAACGGAATATATTATTACTGATTGCCATTCATGGCAAAATTACAAATGTACCGCACAGCGAAATGTTAAGTGGCTTCATAACATCTTCATAATTGCGAATATCGTTGTTACCTGAAACGACTGTTAGCGATACCGGAATACAATAAAAAAAAATCATTATGTATAAATGGCTTGCCATTCAACGGATCTGTACCCGACTAACGGGATATTGATGAAGCGTATGGCGACAACAGTAGAAGAGAAGGTGAAAGGCGATAACGACAAAATGAGCAGATAAGTGGGCGTAAGACGTATCAGTAGACGATGGTCGTAGCTGTACAGTGAAGCTAGTTGAAATTACACAATAAAGTTTAACTAAACACCGTTGAATTAAACAACGTCTCCGGCACGCAGATTCTAGCAACTATAGCTTTCTAGAATGCATATTAAAACGTATCAATGCAACTATAATGAAAGATGAGCAATATGTTGCAAAAAAATATGTAAAGCAAACACAACTTTTCGACAATAGCGTTGCAAAGAAATGGAGAATGTATCTTGCAACATAACTTCGGCAAAACATGGCTCGGTCCGGTTTTTCACCAAGTCGAATCCAAGTCGCGACCACTTTTCTCCGCGGCCTGCACGCAGGTACGAACAATCACCGCGCCTCGATATCTCCGGTAAATGCCTATCAGGCGAACGACATTCTGCATAATTGCTACCGTAACATTACATTACCGCAACACGCGGAATTCCGGCGTGCACTTTTGCAGCCGCGAGCACGAAAAGTGCCCGCCGTCATCGTTCACTAGTCCGTAGCAAACGCGCGCGCCTCTTATCAATTAACGTAATTGCCGTTCCAGGTATTATAGCTTTTCCAGACCGCACGACTCACTACCACCTTACGTATCGTTGCTCACAAAATCGCTTTGAGCTACAGGTCGGATATGAAATTCCTGCTAGGACACAAATCAACCGATCGCAGAAAACTAATTGCAAGTGAAATATGCGTGGAATTTATTTGTTAATTTAGAGAGATAAAAATATTTCGCGTAATTTGAAGCGGGAGAACTATTTTTCTCGAAAATAAAACTTGTTTTTGTCTCTCTTCCATACTCTGAAAAGTTTGAATTTTAGATTAATTATTTAATAATATTCAAGCAAAAAAAAACGCGCAGAATATTATTTAGCAAAATAATATGTAAGCAGATAAAATATTTTGGATCTTCTCTATGCTGGACATATTTTACGATAGGCATTGCGCGTCTTCG